GTAAAAATGAAGGTGCTATCGTTCGATATGAGGGCGCTGATAGATTTACAATCGGAGGGGGTCAAAATCAAAGACCTCTAAGGTTTGACCAAATTTCGAAGACTTTTCGTAGGTCTGGAAACTGGAAATACACTTCTCTATACGCACTCTGATCCGCTGATTACGAAAAACACCTTCCTGAGGTTCGAGAACTCCGTGGAGCTGAGATATCGAACTTTTTTGGAAAAGTAGCGAAATTTCAGGAAAACGACAGCTTTCAGTTTCTAAATTTTTCCTAGAACAAGTGCACTGGAATTTTTTAAGATATTCGTGATCTGTGTCGAATGGTGTATATTTAAAGCAAAAATAAAATAGTGTTTCCTCTTTGAATTTGGAGCGCTTTAACTAAGCAATGAAAAGGCGAAGAAATCGATTGCATATGCAAAATATGTGTCTTACATCTCTGTCAATTTTGGGAAAGTCGAAAAACTATATTTTCATACTCATACTTTATATGAGAAAAGTAGTTGAACACTTGAAAACATACTCATTCTGTTCTGAAACATATATTACACTATAAATCATTGATGCGTTCTCGTTCATTAAGTTTGTCTTTTTATACTATGTTAGAATCTGGCAGGCGAATGGGAAAGGCGAATAGTTTGAGAACCAAAAAATATTCACCTCGGTGGAACATTGGACTAAATTATTTTATTTTATTTTTAAAGACTTGAGCAGTGATGCAAGTGAATATTCCATGGAACTGAATTCATCAACGATTGTGTTCAAATACCATACATTATGTCGAAACGAATTACACGCATTATTATGTTTTCATGATAATCAGTATATGTGCCTGTGTGATACAAATAGAAGATCTGAATGTTTTCGTTATAATCATAGCGAAGATTCATGTCAGCGTTGTTTATTCAATAGTCCATGTATTCAAGGTGATTTGAATGATGAATCAGACTTTTTATGTTTATGTCCCAGATGTCATTACGGTAGTATTTGTCAACATAATACAAAGTTATTAAGTTTTACATTAGAATCATTTTTGGCAAATGATTTATTTTCATCCTCAATTACAATTCAGAATTTATCTATTTCATTCTATATCATTTTAAGTAGTATTTTGCTTTTATTTGGCTTATTTAGCAATTCATGTTGCTTTGTAACATTTCAACGTCCTAGAACAAGAGCAGGTTTGTAATAGTTGATTGGTTTTCATATGTTAATCAGTAATCTTTAAGTTTATACTACGATCCGATGAGTTGTATATTGACAAGAAAAGATTAATCAGTTTGACTAACAATATCGTTCTCATCAGTGCCTACATTTTGTTGAGTATTCATATAAATGTAATACAGCCAAGGTGGGTTGACCACGAGCCTGTTTGCAGGCATAAAGCAGATAATGAAACATCCTTCTTCCTCTATTTGGATTATTGTATGCCGTTTGTCTACTATCCAAGTCAAAACAGAATGGAACTGACTATTTTTTCATTAACTTTTTAATGAAAGAGATAGAAGTATGCGGTTCTCGTTGTGCAATAGAAGGGATTGATTGAGAGAGAAAGGGTAGAACAGAAAGAAACAAAGCGCAAAAGCACACTACACAGCTGATGGAATCGAATACTTAAACTTCGAATTCAAATGCAACTAGCTGAGAACTCTTTTGGAAACTTTTGCAAACGGTTATTGTCTTTTTAAAAAACAAAAGGGCTCTGTGAACTTTCTGTTTTGTACGTATCTTAACCCTTTCTTGCCCTATGGCACCTATGGTAGCATTTTATAAAAATTTAGTTCATTTGAACTATTCGACATTTAGAGACAGATTTTATATCAACTTAAGGCCTATCTATTGTGGACTTCAAATCAACAATCTGAATGTAATCTTTATCATAAAGATATTTTTTTTGACGTTCACACGAATTTGATTCAAATTTTTCCTGTGTATGTTAGAGGCCATAAGGTTGAGTGTATGTTGAGTGTAGCTGTGTATGCTAGGGGCTATTGAGCGAGTTGTCCTTCAGAACCGTCAGGTTTAGCCAAAGGCAAGAAAGCGTTAAAGTAGGACATAAAATAGCAAATACCATACAAACTGGAGCTACCCAGTCAGTCACAGTCTTTCCAGAAAAGTGCAGGAAGCTCTGTTTACGAAAAATTTTACACGTTTAGCGAGTTTCGAATAATAACGCGCAAGAAACTGCGAGTGTATTAAAATAAAGCGCAGGAAACGCACGTTGCCATGGAAGCAAATGCTTTACACGCGTGTTCCTGCGCTTTATTTTAATACACTCGCAGTTTCTTGCGCGTTATTATTCGAAACTCGCTAAGCGCGTAAAACTTTTGGTAAACAGAGTTTTCTGCTCTTTTATAGAATGACAGTGTCTGACTGGGTATTAATTCATTCTCACGTATTTTGAGTGAGTTATCAATTTTTTACTCCTAAGTGAAAACACCATGAAGGTTCTAGTTTTTCGTACATGCAACATGGTTGGCTACTTATGTTCCATACGATGCAAGATTATCGTAGTCACTGGGTACCCGTCGTAAAGCTACAAAAAACTGTGATCATACCCTAGAACCTCTGAATATCAACATCTACCACCTTACAAAGGACATCTCCGGTCCCTCTATCGGACAACGAGAACTGCACGCCTCTGTCTTTGTTGAAAAGTTAAGCAAAAATCATCTAGTCATATATTATTTTGAAATCTGCAGTGATTTTTGTTTCTTGTAAATTCCATTTAATTCTTGACGTTTTTGATGGGACTTCCAGTACACTCTTATTTTGTAAGCTCTTCTTACTATATTCTAATGGTTTAAGTGCTGAGTTTAAAGTGAAAAATTCCATTTCACTTACCATATATTAAGTAGGGCGATCCACTGCTATCCATAGATCATCACATGAAAGTAGTATCGATGTGAGGAAAGTAGAAAGATCTCTCGATGCATCTGAACCTCACGCCTACTCTTGGCATGTTTATCGTGACGCCTATTATCGATTTTCATTTTTCCACCTTGTGATCATGCGTTCCACAACATTGCTTCGTTTTTTTCATAAGCCAATCCATTCTTTTGCAGTCGCCGAAGTCATACTTTTTTCACATGATCCTAGACTATATAGACAGTGGAGGTGACAGAAAAAAGCGACAATGTTGTTTCTTGTTCTTCTACTTATTTGGTTCTCTGTTGCAGTCGGTGTAGGTTATTATTTATTTGTAAACAGTATAACAAGTCAAATGTCACTTATATTTTTATTCTTAAAAATCATTCATATTGTTCTATCGGGTACAAAAGGTATGCTAATAAATTACTTATTCAATGTATTATTATGTAAAATAATTAGTTTTCTACTGACATGTTTTACACGATTATGTTTTTGGTTGACATGTCTTGTTTCAATTGAACGTGTCTATGTTACAATATATACAAAAGGTATATGGCTTAAAAAACCAAATGTAGCCAAATGTGCAATATTAGCAACAATCATATTTGTATTTGGTTCACATTCTCATGAATTGATTTATTACGATATTGTACAAGATCCAAAATATACAAAATATGGTACATGGTGTGTTACACAATATAATCAAATATTATCTGTTTATAATCAAACAATAACGATATTACATTATATTCTACCATGTATAATAAATCTAACTTCAACATTTATACTTATCATTCAAATAGCTCATAAACGTGCAAATACAAATCGTGATCAATCTCATACAAGTGTTCTTCGACAACAATTTCAACAATATAAAGAATTATTTATTCCACCATTTTTCATACTCGTAAGTGCATTACCACAATTTATTATTTCATTTAGTTTGGCATGTACAGAAATAAATATAGCATGGCAACGTTATTTATTAATGGTAGCTTATTTTCTATCGTATGTACCACAACTATTTGGTTATATCTTATTTATATTACCATCTGCTTTATATAAAACTGAATTTTACAGTACAACTTTAGGTCGACGATTGGCTAAATTAATCAATAAAGCAACATAAAACTGATTAACTAACTACTAGTTGATTAGTATTCGTATTCAAACTTATCCGTAGAAATGCAACGTAAAAATACCCCGTCACTTTTCAAACAGCTGTACAACTAAATACCATTTTATTTTCGTTGAATATTATATACTTTTATTGATATGATCTTGATTTGCTCTGGTTCATAGTATACAAAGCAATATACGTCTTTCTTGTCGGCCATTGCGTTTATAGATCGTCAAAAACTGAGCGTATTCAACTTTTAGAAGACTTGTGAGAAAAACCTGTTTAAAGTTATTTTTACTAAGAGAAAACGCTTTCAAACTTATAAATATGTACAAATCAGTTTTGAATTTTGTCTGCACCTCATTGCTGTTCTCTCAAAACCTGTTTATCCATCTCTCAGCCACTGTCGCTTGCGTGTGTGGTTAAGATACAACACCCACTTTTCATTCCCTGTAATAAGATTGTGGAGCCATTGGTAGTTGCGATGAGACGTCACTAATTCCATACGAGCGCCAATCCTGTGTTGGAGCTGATACGGTGACACGTCATGTGGTATCCAAACTCCATATTTCCACGTTTTGCCTCATTCGCCTCGATCTGTTTCCACTGCAGTATAAGAGCACCCAAGTGGCTCTGCTAAACACCATGTAGTCAATCTAGGATCTTCTTCGATAAGCTGCTTTAAGACATCCAATCCACCACTAGTAGTCTTCCGGAACCAGGTAAATCGTCGAGTTCAAAGTTACCATTCTTGAACCGATTGAACCAATGTTGCGCTGTACGGATGGAGAGTGTCCATATCCATAGTTTTGTTGTTGTTCGAAAGATATTCGCAGATATTTTTCGTTGACTTGAGGCTTGAAAAGTTCTGACTTGCCCAGCTCTGCGTGGGACAACAGCAGGAAGAAAAACGAGCTTCGACCAAATACCAATATATGTTTACATTAATACTGCAAAGCGTCTGAAGTCCGATATTGATATTAACTGCACACAAAAGTTTATTTCTTTTCGTTTCATTAATTCTTTATTAACCTTTATCCAACAGTTAATCACAGAAAGTATCACACATAGACAACTGCTGCGAAGATAGACTGATTATATTTTCCGTAATTTTGAACACATACAAAGAGAGAATGTATGAATATGACACACAATGAGAGAGAGATACATTATAGTTGGAAAAGAGTTATAGTGATTAGCCAGTGGAAGAATAGGCCATATTTCGGTACACACTCCGAGTCATTGTGCTCCGTTCTGCATGAGATTTAGGTCAGTTGCGAATAAAAATGAAGCAATTCTATTTTTTTTTCTACACTCACAAGGAACCCTTTCCAATTGTTTAATCGCTTTTTGGTCCAAACCTAGTGGATTTATAGGTTATCGACCACGCTGATTTAGGATATGCATATGAGACGGTCCACTAGGCCTTCCTAGAGCGATTTCCCAAAAACCTCGAAAAGTCCCTAAAACGATCTCTTAATAGACCACGCCTCTAACCCACGGAATTCTGATTAAAGTGAGACATCTCCCACCTCTACACGACCTTTCTTTGCAAATCTATAGAATTTAGAAGAAAAGCCCTGAATCTTCATTGTCAGCTCAAAGCTACAGAAATAGGAAGAAACTAGTTTAGGACTTTTCTTATACGTTCTATAACTTCGCAAAGAAGGGCTTATCGACATTTTGGAAAACCGCTCTAGGAAGGCCTAATGGTCCATCTAATATGGATATTCTGAAGCAGCATGGTCGATAACCAACGATAAGCGATGTAAAAACGACTCACTTTTCCCAAAATTCGAGTTTTTAGTCATAAAATGTGTCAGTATATAGGTATTCGAGTGCGCTTTGAAAAACTTGACTTTTTTGGGTTTTTGACCCGACCTACATGGGGAGCCTATGACTCCTGGAGGAAAGGTTTTCCAGGGCTGATATGTTTTTCATAATTCAATCTGGATATGAGCAATATGTGGTAAATATCTCAGTCAAATCCGATCACATCAATATAACGACTTGTCTAATATAAACTGGGCAAGTCAAGTCAAAAATGCCTCTGTTCCAAGTCCAGTGAAGTCAGACTTGACTTGAGAAAAATTTTTTGGATCCTCTGAGTTGACTGATTTGCAGAATCTTTTCGTTGACTTGAGACTTGAAAAGTTCTGACTTGCCCAGCTCTGCGTAGTTCGGCGCAACAGCGAAAGTTCGGCCGATAACGTATGTTCTACGACGTTTAGCCGAATTTGTAATATATTGCAGTAATTGCGTGTGTTTACTTGTCAAATTTAAACATATAGTCGGCTGCCATATCGGGTGTCCGAAATCGATATATTGAGTTATTAATGTCTCGGTACCAACGTATCTTTAAAATTTCTTCGAAATTCATAGGATCTTTCATTCTAGATACCTTTCGAGAAGATCTGAAACAGGACCGATTCTCGTTCCTATTGCACCGTGTCCTTTCAAAACGCTTTTTGACAAACTGAGACGTCAGTTTTGTTCGGTATTCGACGCTGATTCCGAATATGTGATCGAAGGATCGAAAATGTTTGAAAAAGGATAGCGTGCAATAAGAACGAGAATCGGTCCTATTTCAGATCTTCTCGAAAGGTATCTAGAATGAAAGATCGTATGACTTTATGGGGTTCTAGACCCTTGGTTTTCCTTCCGACCTCATATCTGTGAGAAAATCGATCACCTTTGACCAATAGCTCCGCGAACTCATTCCGATGTGTTTTTCGTACTTTTCTCAGAATACAACAAGTTCGAAGGAAAGTTTTATATACCATTCCATGCAGCTTTACACGGTAAGCAAAACTATCTGTTGCTCAATTGGTATGTACACTGCTCACACCCATGTTTTGGGGATATTACAATATGCACATCCGCAAAATACATCACATCCATATATTTTCTTCCTTTTCACTTTATGCTATTTCATTTCTTCAGCGTAATCATGTGTCTTGTAATACTTAACGTTAATTTGTTTCTTACGTTAAGAAACCCACATTTCGTTTAGACGTTAAGCAGTCATTTTTGTTTTCTCGTTTCTTTCCTCTCCTTTCCTTTCGTTATCAATTACGTGAGCTCTAAATTCATACGTAAGGCACAAAACAGGTCACATTATATTCGAAAAACAATTGTTTGTAAACTTTTAAAGCTGTAATTTGAACTAGAAATGTATGTTTTTTCATGTACAAAAGTAGAAAAATGAATTTTCTTTTTCTTTTAATGTCAAAATGAAAATGTATTAATCTCTCTATCAATTTTACAGTTTTCCTTTTATACTGCAGTGCAAGCGGACATCAACTCCGAGCATTTCCTTTCGCAATAAATCATCATCCTATTCGAATATAGCGAAATGCCATGCATGGAATAAACGACTATAGCAATACCGTAATTTTTATTCTTTTCTTTCCTTTCGCTATCTATCAATCAATACTAACGACTACACGACGGTCCATCACAACAGAAAATGTAACTTATTCATTTGGTGCCACTTTTTTCGTGCAAAATTGAGCCTGTTTATTTTTGCTTCGTTTAATTAACCGCTCTCTTTGAAAGTATTATTCGTCTATTAACCACACATCTAAAGCAAAAGTATTCGTAATATGTACAATTTACTGCCAGACTGCTTGAACCTTCATATATAAGAAAATTTTCCTCGTTTCAAATACAACTGCGCCATGATTTTTTTCTGAATAGCGTTGAATAACGAAAACTGTCGATATATATCGATCTTTACTTTATTTATATACATATGTTTAAAAGGCAGAATATTAATATCATTCGAATGTTAGATAACTTCTTGCTAGTATTCAGGAGAAAACTCATGTTTTCTAGTAATTCGTTGTTTTGATTCGGATCCAGACTTTGATTTTCATTATTCAAGGCTTCGTTATCAGAAAAAAATGTGTTTTCCATACACTTATAAAAGAATAATCTTGTGAAACATAGCGATCAATTGTCTTCGAAGAAATAATCAAATTCATTAGAAAAGAAAACGAGGGTTCGTATACACATTTATATAAAAGTTATTACAAAACGAAATGTTGTGCGGGAATATAGAGGATTAGCGACCGACCAACCGGAATGCATTTTGAAATTCTCCCTAAGTCATACACGATATTCTAGTACTGAAAACTGATGATTGTTCCTCGTTTCTTTTTTAGCTGCAATGTAGTAAAGTTATAGGTTGGACCACATAGATACTTTACAAATACATTTCATCTATGCGGGCAAACTTCTTTCTACTTAACCAGTGCAAATTAAAACTTTGCATGGCAGTGAAATCGCTGGAATGAAAAAGATGCTTTTGAGTGGAATCCAGAACTAGCGTGAATTTTCCTTCCAGAATTCTTTACTTTATAATCTCAAGGTGTGAACACAACACAGAGCCTTCAAACTTTCATGTCTAAAATTGTTTAGAAGATATTATTATCAGCAAATACATCATTCGATAGTGTAATGTCCTCCAGCAGACAGTGCTGGAAACTATCCATCTTCATATGATTTTAAAAACGTGAAAATACTGAAGCTGATGCGTTTTTCTACATCAGCTTGTTCTATAAGTTTTATAACTGTCAATACGACGTCTAAGAAGCTTAAAAAGTTTTCATAACTACAGTTTCAACCGTAGACTATTAATGAGAATGTAAAAAGTGTATGTTGATTTATGTTTCATGGTTTCGTCTTATAGGCAGATGGTCGATCGCGTCGTGCGTTCATCAGTACAGTGCAGTGTATATAGTCAACATTTTGAAATTAAAACTGTTTTTGGCCTAAAAGCAACCAGGTTTCGAATTTTGTTTCGGAAACGTTTTACTACACTAAGCCTCACCTGGAAGAGATCTGATTTTTCGATAGTTTCACTCCCCATCCACTCCTCTATCCAATAGAGACGACCACATTGTTCTAGTTCTTTATGTTAAAACGTTATTCAAAAACTGGCGAGGAGCATTCTTTTTATAAACGGATCATGTATTCTGGTATCTTAATTCATTTTCAAGTTAAAT